TGAATAATGAGTAATCAGTATGGTGATAAATAAAAGTGTTTATTTATATTCATAGGGTTTGATACCATATTTGATTCATTTATTCTTGTGTTTCACTTTGCATGTTTTGACTTCCAGAATAACTAAGTCGCTCTTCCTGAATGATTAAGTTATTCAAACCATCCACAGTCGGTCATATGTTGGAAGTAGATATGAATCAAGACTGTCATGGGTTGGTTTGTAGAGGTCCAAGTTGGTGGACAAAGTGGTGCTACAACACTCATGAGTGCTCATAAGTTCTGAGTATTGGATTCAACCCGCGCTCATTTGAATCACTTCATGGATTTTATCACGAGTGATCATGAGACGATAATATCTTATATTCTTCAAACCTAGAGATATGAGTTGTTACTATGAGTTGGTTGTACATTGATTGCACGAAAACACATTCGGTAACTCGATGTTATAAAACGTGCCTTTGTGTATGATTCAACAAGTAGTAGAACAAGCCATATGAGTCGAAGTTTATCCATTCTTTTTACCTTCGGGATAAAAGCGATATATGTGGGCCCCTCGATGATTTAAAGATGATACATGTGAGTGCTTGGCCAAGCCAGGACTGATTTGATTTGTTCAATCAGTCAGTCATCATGAATCGGAAATCAGGAAACAACAAATGGACAGAGAGAATGATTGATAATCCATGTCTCAGTCCATATGATATCTAGAATGGAGGAATATATGATCCCTTATCTAATGGACAAGTCATTGACAAAGGTCAGAGTTCATCGACAAGGTCAGAGTTCGACAAAAGCTTTTGAGAGCTACGATTGCTGATCGGTTCCTGAAGTCATACGCAATAATAGTTTTAGACTTATCCAAGTGGGAGACTGTTGGATTAATGTCTAAGTCCATAACTATAATTGGTAAGACTTGACCCGACCCGGCATGGTCCATTTGGGTTGCATGGCATCATGCATTTGGATAGACTATAATAAGAGAAATAACACTTAAGGTTGGTTAATATATTATAAGTTATAATATATTAATAAGGTTATTTAATTAGTATTGATCAAGAATTAATTTGGAATTAATTAAGTGATCAAAAGGAGACTAATTAAATATATGGGTTGATTGTGTAAATCATTCATTCTTATATATGTGGGCTTGTGATCCAAGATTCCTTATGTTGGACTAAGTCCATGGGGTGACCCATGGATACTCCATGGAGGTTAAAATCCATGGAGCATAAGGAATGGGTAAAGTTATGAGTTACATAGTGTAACCCTAATAGTCACCATATAAAAGAATCCCATGGCTCAAGAAATCGTGCACTAATGTGTGAATATGAGGGCTAGACGATTTCAAGGAGTGTTCCATTTTTCTCTCAAGTCATTCCATGTGCATTTGGTGTTGTGTGAACCATTTGAGGTGTCACACTTGGAGCACTAGGCACTCAAGCTTCATGGAGACAAGCTACATCAAACAAAGGTATGTATTCTATCCATTTGATTACCCAAGTATCAAGTATTGTATGCTAGATAGGGTAATACCTTGGAAAGTTCATAATTGCATGTATAATAGAGAAAACATAGATCCAAGGTATTTAGGGTTGCATGTACACTTAGGAGTGTTAGAATGCGCAAAACCCAACACTAAGAAGATCTACTCGATGAGTCGATGCTCCGACTCGTCATGTAGGGACAAGTTTGGCCACGTGGTTTAAATGACCAACTCGACGAGTTGGTGGACCCAACTCGGCGAGATGGAGCCGGAACAAGAAAACCCTAATCCTCGGGGTTTTGCACCCTATTTAAGGGTCATTTTCCCCCATAGCCTCCCTTACAGCCCCTTTTTGAGTCCAGAAACCCTAAATCGCTGTTTACTCTTCATTTTTGTGTGATATTAAGCTTTGAAGGTGGATTGTGGTGAGAAGAGTTCGAAGTACTAGAGCTTGAAACAAGAAGAGGTTGTGGATCCGAGTCCTACTTCACCTTTGTATCGTTTGGAGGTAACAAGTCGCTACCTTGGCTTTACATTAGCTAGATCTTCTCCTTGTTGGGATTAAGGCCAACTTTAGCATGTTTGGGTATCATTTCGGCTGTTGGGGTAAGATCTGAAGTTGTAACTTCAGATCTGGATTTCCCTAGGTCTCTATAGTCATAAAGCTTTAGCCTTTAGCAAGATAATGCCTTTTCCTCACCTAGAACCTCTCCTTTAGCTTGATTTGGCCCTAAGCACCTTGCATATAAGTAAAGTTTGCAACTTTACATAGGAAGTATGCCCTAGGAACTTAGATCTGCAATTTGGAGCTTTGGGTGGCTTAAAATCGTCTGAATGGGTAATAGACTAAAGGGACTCGACGAGTTGCATGGTCAACTCGACGATTCGGATGAAGATTGTCTGAGGTGGTTTCTACATGGACTCAGCGAGTCAGTAAGATGACTCGACGAGTCAGATGGGGTTTTCCCGACTTTTGAACACGCTTGAACTCGACGAGTTGCCTGGAAACTCAGCGAGTCGACTAGGGTTTTATGACTTTGTGAGTTCTGAATGAACTCGACGAGTCAATGTGCTGCACTCGACAAGTCAGGTCAACATGGACTGTTGAACTTGACCCTTGACTTTGACTTTGACCAAGGGTTGACCAGTTTGACTTCTGGGGGTATTTTAGTAAATTGGAAATTTATGGGAGTGGTCTCATGGCAAATAAAGGTGGTGGAGTTCATGGCTGTGATTCGAGAGTTTGAGCTTATCTGTGAGGTGAGTTTTCCTCACTATACTCAAGGGTCTAAGGCACCAAGGCCGACCCTTTTGGATTGTTATCCTGATATGCTATGCTAGTATGATCTGTTAGATCAGTAACCTGGTAGATATGATGGTGTTATGTTGTTATTGTCTGTTAGATCGGTATCCTGGTCGATAGGATGATGTTATGCTAGTATGATCTGTTAGACAGGTATCCTGGTAGATAGGATGAAATTATGTTGTTATGATCTGTTAGATCGGTTTGTCTGTCTATAGGCTGTTATGTGATTATCTAATATATGTGCACATGTTTGATTGGTGGTTGAGGCTTATCTGCTTTGTGCAAGAGCCAACAAACCTGGGCCTTTCAACCCGATGGTTGTGGGCCGTGAGTATTCCATCCCGAGGATGATTAGACTCGTAGTATGTGGGCATTCCAACCTGATGGTTGTGGGCCTGAGGTATTCCATCCCGAGGATGACTGGACCCATAGTATGTTGGCATTCCAACCTAATGGTTGAGGGCCTGGGGTATTCCAACCCGATGGTTAACTGGACCCATAGTATGTTGTTTGTGATTATATATTGTTGTGTGTATGGGTATTTTGGGGGAACTCACTAAGCTTCGGGCTTACAGTTTCAGTTGTGGTTTCAGGTACATCAGATGATCGCGGGAAGGCGAAGGCATGATCGTACACCTCCTACTGTTTATGATTGATTCTGGGATATTTTGTCACTAAACTATTTTGGAAACAATTTTTGTAATAATCAATGGTTTGGAATATTTTTAAAAGTTTAAATTTGGCATGATTTTTGTGGATGTTACAATGATATAGATAAACCACCTTGAGTAAGAGAATTGATTTTTTGATGAATATTAAAAACAAAAGAACCATCAGCTTTATGATAAATATCATTCAGTTCAGACCAAATATCAGAAGCAATTTCAGCACAAGCATGATTAGCATATAAGGACTCAACAATAGAGCCTAAAATCCAAGAACAAACAATAACATTAACACGTTGACATTTAAGGATCTTAACTTCATCTCCAGTTGGTTTAGGAAAGGTTTTAGCAACAAAACAAGTTTATTTCTACCTTTTAAATCCCAACTCATAGAACATCACCATATTCTAAATTGTTCAGTACCACACAACTTGAAGCTAATGATAGAAACAATATCATTATCAGATGGATGCAAGAACAACGAATCATCAAAATCATAATGATCTGGATTCTTTGTTCCAAATCCAGAACCAGGAGTTGGAGTTTCTCCGACCATGATTAATGCAATCTATGTGACAACCAGACTGGGTTCCTTTGGCTAAACTGGTGTCTGTACTAAACCAGACTCTAAGCCCTTCGTTTACTGCTAAACCTGTGACGAATAACTAACAGAGATAACAACCTCCAAACAAAAAATCGATTGTAACAGACAAAGATAATTGTAAAAACACAGAGATAACGAATATCGAAAGCATAAAACTGATCGACGCAAGAAAACATGGAAAAAAATCCAACCTAGAGAACAAACCCTAGATGAACCAAACCAGTCCAGATCTGGACACAAACGACTCAACACAAGAATTACAAACGAGATAAACTTCGCTCTGACACCATGTTCAAAAACTCAAACTAATCACAATATCAACATATCTTTTTATTTATGAAAAAATAAGATCCACTTAGTTTTCATTGAAAACTCACTAAAAAATACACTCTCACTCAAACAGAAAATCAATACAAGAGAATCAGAACACCATTACAACTCTAGGAATCACAATACAAAGATTACAAACAGAAACCCTAAAATTAGGTGGAAGAGATAGAGAAAAACGAAAGAAACTTCAGATGCAAAAGATGAGTTTTGATCAATCACAACTACCATCCAACATTATATACTCCGGATCCGATATCCGGTACAAGTCCGGTTTAACCCAGAACCAAATACGGAATATAACCTGCATGTTTATGTAATTTCTCTAATAGCAAGCCACGATATATCCCTATAGAAATAAAAACTAACAAAATTGACCCTGCATAATAAATAACTCACAACCACATCTTATTAAATTACATTTTTTTACCTTGAATATAGAAAAACCTTTCATTGTTAATCTTACAATAAACATTTAATATTTTTAACAACATCACTCCTAACCATTTTTTTAAAAATGGGAAAAATTGTAAAAAAATACTAACAATTTATATATCCACCGTAATAAAAAATGTAGGACACCCCTTTAGCCTTATAACACACCCCATTCCTCAATATGGCTGACTCAGGCCCCCAGGGGAAAAGCATCAGTTACCAAATTCTTCTTCTGGGCCTTTTGGACCTGTCAATGTCAGGTTTTACATAATCAGGGCATTCACACACGTATCCTCCCACTCTTCTTATATAATCCCCTCTTTCTAAAACTCTACATATCTCTCTCTCTCTCTCTCTCTCTCTCTCTCTCTCTCTCTCTCTCTCAAATTAAATCCCCTCTTTCTCTCTCTAGGTTTTTCAGTCCTCAAAAGGAACAAACATTTCCAACATCGTTCTTAGGTAAGAAAACCAATATTCGACGAACAGCACTTGTCAAATCATCCTATCTTAATCCTCGTACAAATCATTAATCTGAATTACATATATTTGTGTGTATAGATTTATGCAGGAAGAAGAAAGTGAAGTTTCAATTACAATGAACGAGGTCGTTGATGATGATGATGTTGTGGCGAGAGAGGAGAAAGAAGAAGAGGAGGAGGACGAAAACGTTGTGATTGTGGCTGTTTGTTTGTTCTAAATTCGGTGCTATCCTTACCTGAGCTTTCATCCTAATCAACCTTTCCTCTATAGTTCTGGTTTTGATTCTTGTTTATTTTTTGACTTGTTGCTTTTTTTTCTTCTTGTAGATTTGATTTTCTTGACCTTGTAAGACCTATTCTTGACCTTGTAAGACCCAACCACATCTTCTATCTCCTTACCTTTTGTTGTCGTGTGGACCTTAGATCACTGTAAATTGATTAAAGGTCTTTTCACTATCTTTCTTCGTTCCCACCCAACTCACGTTCTCCTTCCTTGTCTATCCCTTCTGAGCTTTTTTTTTCTCATTAAAGAGAGATACTTAAGGGCTATGTTTCTTGGCAGAAACATATCCCATTTTTTTTTTACCTTTCAGTAGTAGACAAAAAGAAACCTAATTCTTCATTTTCATCAACAAGAACAAACCCAAATCCTCCATGTCAACCGGCATCAAGAGTCCTGTGTCTGTTAAGCCAGCATGTTAACAAAGAAGAAAACCTAGAATATGGTAGCATATATGATATATTTTGAAGATCTACAACCTCTTTTAATCATTGTTTTTATCATGTTATGGGTCAATTAAAGTGAAATAGATTCACTATGCCAATGTGTTTTTTGGTTTTTGTTTTTTTGATTTTTATACATGTATGTGGTACTTTAGTTGGTCAGTCCAAGTGCTTCAGCCCATCTCTTAAACACACACACATACACACAATACATGCACATGTGTGTGTGGGTGGCAGTAATTATTCCGGTAGGGCATCCATGTTTGATTGGATTATTTGGGCAGAAATCTCTATGGGTTCTGTGTTAGTTGTTTTATATGTTTGTTTAGAAACTAAAAGAAGTATAAAGAGAATATTGTACTAAAAAATTCATAGCATAAATTTAGGTAATTAACAAAAAACAAAAACTAGTATTTTAAAGTCGACAGAAACAAAAACTGTCTAATATCAGGTTTTAAGGACAATTTAAGTGATTATTGATCAACCATCCATCGTATCTGATATTCATAGTTTATACTTTATAGTCGATCACGTTGAATTAAGTGAGATTAAATCCAACAATTAATATGAAATGCACAAATTAGTTTCAACAACTTTAAGTTATGAGTTTAAATCTTTCATAGATAACCATACATACACTCATAGATAACCATAGCACGTATGCAATTTGATTTTAAAAAAGTTGGCCAGTTTGTATTCATTTGTTTTGCCGTGTATATGTATTTTACATCATGGCTCTATATTTTCTTAAGATATTTCTATACATATATTTAATGGTGTTCAAAACCGGATATCCGAAATTTCGGATAGTAGATTTTGGTATCCAAACCCGTATCCGAAAATTCGGATATCCGAAATTTCAAATACGGATTCGATACCAAATCGGATATCCGAAAATCCAACTTCTTTGTCATTATAAAGAATTAATCAAATTAAACAATTAATGGGTTTGTATTAACCAAAAAGAGTTCTGATCGTTGTTCGTCGTTATTTTTATTGTCCATTGAACTTTTTCACAACAACTGAGACGTCCTGCTCTCTTACTTTCCATGTTTCCGTCTCTTCAAAATGCTGCTTACATTTGGGCTTGCTGTGCTAGGCTCCACACTCTTACTTTCATCATTCCCGTGTTCGTTTTTGTCGATTGTACTTTTCGATGTCATGTTTGAATGCAATGTTGCTAAGTTTGTTAGGCATGTCGTTCTACTTTTGGTCTTGCTCTACTTTCCCCACTCTTTTCTTTTTTGGTATTGTGCATACTCCCGACATGGTATGAAACTTGACTACTCTGTGAATTGTTGACGCTATGACTCTGAATTTATGCGTTGTCGTTCTCCTAAAGATTATGTCGTATTATGATGACGTATTGATAATCATAAAACTGATTGGTTTAGTACTATTTGTGCCATTATTTTAGTCTACTAGAGTGAGCGGAAACATGATCGTTCCTTCTAGCCATACATTGTGTCCGACGAAGTTGATTAAATGCCTCTCGGGTGGTTCTATTTTCTTTTTTACATGGCTCGGAGCTGCTTGTAGAAATGTTTGTACATGACATCTGTCGAGTTACCGTTGTCCATGTAGATGTCATCTATGTAGTTTTTTCCTATGAATCCTCTGATTACGATGGGCTCATATCCTCTATGATTACTGTTGTTGTAATTCCATTTGTCAAACTTGATTCTTTAATCGTCCCACTCATGATCTTCATCTGATTGCTCCGTTTCTCTGAACATGAAGATTTCATTCTTCCCTAAACTTTTTATCTTGGGATCTACTAGGGAAATGCTTTCTAGCTGCTTCGACTGTAGTCCCTTTATCAAGTTGTTTAGTTGTCTGGCCTGCATATTGTTTTCTAGTTCTCTTTGCAACATGGTGCACTCGATGGTGTCGTTCCTGGAGGATTCGTGGAACTCAAAGAACTTTCCATGTTCTCTACTTGATGACCTTTCTATTGTTCTTGCTCCATTGTTCCATTTGTTTTCCCCTATTGTTGCTACATCATTCCTTCCCCTATTTCTTGCTATTTTATTATTACGATTTTGGTGCATGAATCAGGTCGATCGTTATGCCCTCACATTGTTGTATTTTTGGATTTTAAGCTCTCACATAGGGCATGCGATCGTCTTTTTGAACATAGGATCTTTCCTCTTGATCGGTTTTTTTATTTTCTCTTGCTTCATGTAGCGGTGGAACCTCTCCATCATGTCCTTCCTTGACTTGGGTAGTTTTCAGACCAGTTTTTTGAATAGAACTCATGGATGTAATCCATAAGTGAACGCGGCTATCGCTATGTTGTCTTCCCTTTCCGAGGCATTAAGATTAGCCTTGTTAAAACGGTGCACGAAGGCGTGTAATGACTCGTCTTCACGTTGTCTGCATCCAAAGATGGATGGGCATCCACCATATATCTTCTTTGTTGTACGAATTGGCTAATAAACTATTCTCTCAACTGATTGAAATCATGTATGCTTTCTACCGGTAAGCTCTTGTACCATAATCGTGTTGGTCCTGATAAGGTCGTTGGGATGAAAATACACCAATATTTTTTTCCAGGTAATAAGAATCCATTATCCATTTGTAGTTTTCGATATGATTTTCTGGGTCACCCGATCCCTCGTACTTCGAGATTTCTGGTATGTTCACTCCTATTGGTAGCTGATATTCTCGTATGCTTCTAGTGAGAGGTGAGTTTTCTGACCTTAGGAATCGATAGTTTTTAACATTATTGTTTGGTTCTTTATATCTATTGTTATTCGTCGTTTGTGGTGACCACTGAATTTGTGCCTCTATTTACTTTCCTAGGACTTTTGTGGAATGTAGGTTTTCTGGGATTGCGGCAGCCAAAATGTCTGGTAATGGGCATATGGGAATGGAGGTGATAAAAATATGTATGGTGGTACATTTTGTTACGTCAGGGTTGCTGTTGTTGCTAGGTGTTGCTGTAACAATGGTGGTAAGACATACACTGTCAACTCGTTGTTTCTGGGAGTGGTTTTAGGCGGTCTTGTTGACATATTTGCTCTTCTTTAGTAGAACTACTATATGATGCTACCGTGACCGATATTGTATATTTGGCCTTCTTCCCTTTGCCCGTTGATTTCTCATTTGGTTCCCCCTCTTCTTTTATGTGTGCCCAGTATGAAGTTGGTTCTGTTGGTAGAGATGAGGCAATCGTTGGTGGCATGACACGATCTTGCCGCTGTAATAGGGGTGAATGCTAGGATTAAGTTGATAGGGCTGAAAGTTGAGTCTAGTAAGGGACGTGAAGGTTGATTTTTTTTCTTGCATGTTTGTATACGGATGGCGCCAATGTTGCTACATAGCCTCCTGACTGATTGGTAGCTGGATGAAGTGCTCCTCTTCTAATGTGAAATCTAGAAGGCATGCTGCCAAAGATGGAAAACACTAGGTTAGAAAGCTATACCGAGGGATATACCCCGATATTGCTCTCTGATGCCTAAGTTAGATGTCAAATAGAAGAGTAGTAAAATTTATTGGGTTCTAAAAACTCTACCTTGTTGGTGCGTATCGAAAGTCTTATATATACAGACGTCATGGTCCGATTTATTTCTTTTCTAAATGGGTATTGTGAATGTATAATAGTTGCAATGGTAGTACCCTTCAATATAACATTGTTGCCTTTTTCGTGTTTCCTGGTATATTACCAAAGAATCTATACGGATGATTTCTTTGCTTTTAATATATTACTTCTCGGTTTGCTTGGTCGGTCAGCTTTGTTGAGAACTACCGACATCCTAAGTATTTGGGCTTGTTGTTTATAACTAGACAGCTCTTAATGGCACTCCTTCATCTTTTTTATGGCTTGATCTCCATACACTATCAATAACAATTTAAATCAAGATTAAAAGAGTACTTCGGTTTAGATTCAATCCACCTCTCTCTAATGGTTGATTTCTTTAATAGTGCAATGGATTTATAAATTGGTTACCAAGTTTTATAATGACTAGTTATCTTGATCGGATTTCCTAGTACTAATAATTAATGAATAAACAACTCAATGATCAAGTAATTGTTGAAAACATAATTAATTTAATATATTCGTATTATAAATGGTATGATCTAGTGATTTATTATCAATGGTCATGACAATCAATCAAAGCATAACATGGATATCTAATGCTCTCTAACCTAATCAAAGTTAACAATTAATATTACGTAACCCTAGGATTGCATCGATCTCTAGTCCTAACAGTTTAATATCATAAATTAATTAATATTCAAGTTAATGTAATTAGATTGGGCATCTTAACTACACATAACTCAACAATAGGAAATAAAATTATAACTTTAACATGACAGGTAAAGTGATCAATCAAACACTAATAATAACCAAAGAATAAATCCAAAATTTTGAAATCAACACATAGTTTTGAGGCACATCTACTCTAAATGAAAGTAAACGATTTTTATCCCATAACTAAAGTAAAAACACATATAAAATGAAGTAGACTCTATTAAACAATATATAATATTCAATGTATGCAATTTCAATGAATGGGTTCATTCTTAAGAGTTAATCTCAAGAGAGATCAAAAATTGTACATTCTTAAAGGCCCTATTCCCAAAGAACTTGCACTTATCAGTATAACTGAAGATGTTTCTGACATCATACCGGGATTTGTAATTCCGAACTTTCAAGAAATCTTATTCAATTAAGAAGCATATCACACATTTCGTCAGGTGGAGCAGATATTTCTAAAATACATTATTAGTTGGTATAATCAGTTCAAACATAGGAAGAATGCAAGGCTCAAAAGAGTCACCATGTGTGCTCTAAGAAGCCATTAGTTCATGGCAAGGATAAGTTTAGGCCTAATAAATCCAGGAAGGCCTATAGAGATGGATCTTGTTTCTACTATAGAGAAATAAGATACTAGAAGAGGAAATGTCCCTCTTATATGAGTAGGATTGGCCTGATCAGTCATTCATGTATCTACTAGATACAAGTTATAATTTTTACTTAACACTTAATTTAGAACGTCACTTTCAGAGTTTAGTTTATTATTTATGCTTAGAACATAAAGTAGTTGTATTGTAAAACAAT